AAAAGGTTTCTTTCAATGAAAAGGGACGAATTTTCAGACTTCTTTTGAGCCAAAAATTTGTTTCCTTTCATTGAAAAGGAACGACTTTTCGGAACTCTTTTAGAACTGAAAAGTTCCTTTCATTGAAAAGAAACGAATTTTCAGAACTCTTTTAGAGCTGAAAAGTTCCTTTCATTGAAAAAAAACAACTTTTTGGAACTCTTTTAGAGCCGAAAAGGTTCCTTTCAATGAAAAGGAATGACTTTTCAGAACTCTTTTAGAGCCAAAAATTTGTTTCTTTTCATTGAAAAGAAATGAATTTTCGGAACTCTTATAGAACTAAAAAGTTCCCTTCATTGAAAAGGAACGAATTTTCAGAACTCTTTAGAGCCGAAAAGATTCCTTTCAATGAAAAGGAATGACTTTTCAGAACTCTTTTAGAGCTGAAAAGGTTTCTTTCAATGAAAAGAGACGAATTTTTGGACTTCTTTTGAGCCAAAAATTTGTTTCCTTCATTGAAAAGGAATGACTTTTCAGAACTCTTTTAGAGCCAAAAAGGTTCTTTTCAATGAAAAGGAACAACTTTTCGGAACTTTTTTAGAGCCGAAAAGGTTTCTTTCAATGAAAAGAGACGAATTTTCGGACTTCTTTTGAGCCAAAAATTTGTTTTCTTTCATTGAAAAGGAATGAATTTTCGGAATTCTTTTAGAGCTGAAAGGTTCCTTTCAATGAAAAGGAATGACTTTTCGGAACTTTTTTAGAGCTGAAAAGGTTTCTTTCAATGAAAAAGGACGAATTTTCGGACTTCTTTTGAGCCAAAAATTTGTTTCTTTTCATTGAAAAGGAACGACTTTTCGGAACTCTTTTAGAACTGAAAAGTTCCTTTCATTGAAAAGAAATGACTTTTCAGAACTCTTTTAGAGCCGAAAAGTTCCTTTCAATGAAAAGGAATGACTTTTCAGAACTCTTTTAGAGCCAAAAATTTGTTTCCTTTCATTGAAAAGAAACAAATTTTCGGAACTCTTATAGAACCAAAAAGTTCTTTTCATTAAAAAGGAACAAATTTTCAGAACTCTTTTAGAGCCGAAAAGATTCCTTTCAATGAAAAGGAATGACTTTTCGGAACTCTTTTAGAGCTGAAAAGGTTTCTTTCAATGAAAAGGAACGAATTTTTGGACTTCTTTTGAGCCAAAAATTTGTTTCCTTTCATTGAAAAGGAATGACTTTTCAGAACTCTTTTAGAGCCAAAAAGGTTTCTTTCAATGAAAAGGAACAACTTTTCGGAACTTTTTTAGAGCCGAAAAGTTCCTTTTCAATGAAAAGAGACGAATTTTTGGACTTCTTTTGAGCCAAAAATTTGTTTTCTTTCATTGAAAAGGAATGAATTTTCGGAACTCTTTTAGAGCCGAAAAGATTCCTTTCAATGAAAAGGAATGACTTTTTGAAACTTTTTTAGAGCCGAAAAGGTTTCTTTCAATGAAAAGGGACGAATTTTCAGATTTTTTTTAAGCCAAAAATTTGTTTCTTTTCATTGAAAAGGAACGACTTTTTGGAACTCTTTTAGAACTGAAAAGTTCCTTTCATTGAAAAGAAACAACTTTTCAGAACTCTTTTAGAGCTGAAAAGGTTCCTTTTAATGAAAAGGAACGACTTTTCAGAACTCTTTTAGAGCCAAAAATTTGTTTCCTTTCATTGAAAAGAAACGAATTTTCGGAACTCTTTTAGAACTGAAAAGTTCTCTTCATTAAAAAGGAACGACCTTTCGGAACTCTTTTAGAACTGAAAAGTTCCTTTCATTGAAAAGAAACAAATTTTCAGATCTCTTTTAGAGCCGAAAAGTTCTTTTCATTGAAAAGGAACAACTTTTTGGAACTCTTTTAGAGTCGAAAAGGTTCCTTTTAATGAAAAGGAACGACTTTTCAGAACTCTTTTAGAGCTGAAAAGATTCCTTTCATTGAAAAGAAACATTTTCAGATCTCTTTTAGAACTGAAAATTCGTTTTTTCAATAATACTTTCAGATTTAGATTAGATCAGATTTGGACTTAAACTGATCCGTCGGATCTGGATTTGAGATTCAATCTGTCAGATTTGGATCAGATTTGGATTTCAACGGATCCGTCAGATTCAGATCGGATTCAGATCCTGAAAAATGAAAATCAGATCAGATCAGATTTGGATAAAATCTGATTTGATCCGATTTTGCGAAATACTACTAATGCGTTATTGAATACACTTGTAAACTGACAACTAAATTTGGAGTGTGTAACTTCGTGTTCACCAGTTGATAACTCAATAATTGTTATAGTTCCATTACGATAGTTAAAAAACCTCCTGGCCTTAATAATCTCAACTCGTTTTGCGAACTGACTAAATGTTACATCGCTTGCTAAAACCAGAGGTAATTTGACAAGGTAAATCAAAATTTAACATAAAACAAATGTAATAAGTAAATACTAACATTTTACCTTTCTTTTTCAACACCTAGAGAACCTAAAGAATCTTTACTCAATCACCAATTCTTTTCTTTTTTGTCAGCTTCATTTATATTTGTATTTGCGTTCACACTTGTATCTATATTTGTATCTATGTTCACCCCAGATGCCTGGTTATTTAAGTCATAACTAGAGCTTAAACTGGAATTGAGCCTAAGCTGGGTGATGGCAACTGTAAGATCTAAGCTTTGACTGATAATGCGTTGTAACTGCCGTTTTAGTGCAGAAAAGCCTTTAACCTTGGTATTTTTTCATTTCTTGGAGACATACAATGCATAATATTTGAATGTGTCAGATTCATCATTAGATGAAGCAGTCGACATATTGCACAGTATAAAAAGATTTTTTTTGCTTTTTTTATAAAGATTGGAATATTACACAGCTAATCACGCGCAATCAATGACATAATGCAATATAAAAATAATAAATATGCCAATAATGAGGCGCAGTAGTCACTTGAGTAAAAGATGCATCCACGATTATCTATGAAAAAATGAATTTATTGTATTTGATTTTACTAGGTCAGAAGATGATCCTCTAGCAATTCGTTTAAGATAAAAGAAAAGAATAAAAAGTGAACCAGCTGATGCATAGATAAAAAGTATAAAAATTCATACAATAAACTTTATTGACACTTCATGCTAAAATATTTGCGCAGTTAAAATTTTCTGCATAGATCGTGATATGATATTACAATGTTACGTAATCAAAGATAAGCTGAATATTACGAAAGTAAAAGTTTGGCTAAAATATAATCTATATTATTCTGGGAAATACTAAATAAGGTTACTGCTGTAAAGTTCTGAATCTGCTTGATTTTATCGATCCCAATCTCATTAAATAAATTATAAATCTTTTGGACCTGCTCTTTCATTTTTCAAAGCATGCTCTGGCTAACTGATGGAAGTTGAATTCTAACCTCATTATTTACTAACTCTTGAGCTGTACATTTCAGATTATTTTTTTTGTAATGATTGAATCATTTCTCGAGTGCTTTCCTAAAATAAAAATAATAAAGTATGACTTCTTGTGTCATTTTTTTACTAATTTCTTCAGCATTAATTATACATACCCCCGCCGAAAGTCTCCGAACGTCATCTTTCGACTATTTCATACCGAATACATCATATGACTGTATAATACTACAGTCATGTAATGTACCTGACCTTGTTTGCTTGAATCAAAACCAAATAAAAGCGTGTTTGGTTTGTTTATTTTGATTTTTAACCAAAATAAAATTTACCTTCCGAAAATCACGAAAATGTTCAAAGAATAACGCGGCAGTATATATTTTACCGTCGACGTGGCAATAGTTACCGGGCTATTGCTGTAAATATCGGTTGTAGATTTTTAATAGTATTTAGAACTTTAAAAAGAATGGATGACACCGGAACCGTTAATTCGAGGCTTCGTTCTGGTTGACCATCCTTAATTAAAGATTCGCAGCGAAGCCGGCTGAAGCGATTTGTTACAGCGAATTCGGGCTGTGATAAAGCAAATAAAGGCCCGATCAAATACTAATTATTTAGTACTAAATGCGTAGCATATCATACATTAATAAATAAATTAATAAATTTTTTTAATAAACTTTAAAATTTTAAGTTTTACATTGAGCCAAAAAGCGTTCAGAGACTTTTAGCGGGGGTCTGTATTTTGGTATAAAGCTAAAAAATTGATTGTGTTCTCATTCAATTCAGATGTTGGTTTAGTCAGTAAAGTTTTCTCTGAAACGTCAGTTCCCAATTCTTTGATTAGTCTTTGCAATATAGGAGAATTTCCTTTGAAACTGGCATCTTCACTTTCTTACTGAATAGTTTACTGGTGGGTTCGCCAACACGCTTTTTCTGAGACATATCTTAAAATATTGAAAAATCACTACCAAATAATGTCAGAGATATATCCATCAAATCATTGGTATTTTGACTTCTAGGCGTAGCATCAACCATAGATGAGACATAGTCTCAAGGCTTTGCCTCTTTTATCTCTTTCTTGCAATAAGGTCTTAGACATATTGAGCATTTTTTGATAGATTTTTTGATGCAATCACGATGATAAATATGTTCACAGATGAGTATAGTAATTGGGGATTTTATTTTATACAAAAAAAATTCTTAGTTGCATAACGAATATGTGTCTAGTTCTGAAACATTAATGCCTTCTGCAATTTTGTCTGAGATGAATTTTTTAGAATATTTAATGCAAGGGATTTGAGAGATAAGATATTAGCAGTCATAGTGAGATATATAATCAGATAGCGGAGCTAGTGTCTCTGATACATAAGTTTTCCACATACTTAACTCATTTTTTATAATAGAGTTAGTGCCAAAACACATATACCATACCTATCGTGACTAACAAAACCAATTTCAGATGTTATGAAAGCTAATTTCAGATTTAGTGATTGCTTTATTCATAAATTAATTATTTCTCCTTGGAACACTCAATATTTACAGGAAATCGTAGATAGTTTTAGCCTTTTTTCTCATATATTCGAAAAAAGATTACATACCTATCTTATATATATAGATAGCACAATCATCTAGCTTCAAGCAAAAATTGTGAGAAGACAGGGCAAAGATTGGCATTAATTTCACAAAACAGCGATGAATTAGCTTAGTCTCTTATGATAATTCATATCTCGTAATGATAATCTCAAATGAAAACACCCTCTTATTTACCACACATAAAATCAATTATCAGAAATAAGATCACATGCCTGAAAAATCAATTGCATAATACAGATGTTTGATCAGACCATTACTCTATAATACATATCACATGCTATATTACAGAAGAAAATTGAAGGTCATGGAACTTCTCTATACATAATATAATCGGGTGACCTGCTGATTGTTAGAGTAATCCTGAAAAATTGATTGCATAACATAGATGTTCAATTAGCGAATAAATTGGAAGGTTATGAAACTTTTCATGCATGATATAATCATATGACCTGCTGATTGCATTTTCTTTGTGAAAGTTTTTTGTTATGTATTGCATCACTCCAGTTTCACATTCTCTGAATCTACCATTCCCATACCTAAATAAGACTAAAAATGAGCGGAAGGAGCATTTTAAAAGAACAGTATATTTGCATTATAGTTGTTTATTTGTTTTTTTACTTGCAATATAACAAAGCTTTTATTATTTCGAACTCGACTAATCAATATGTCTGCTGATTTACAAACCAAAATTCATAATTTTTTGATTAATATCGAAGAGCGCTATATAAATGTCACGTCTGTTATTCATCAAGATTTAGAAGAAATCTCTGAATTTCACAAAATAAGTTGAGAACAATTGTAGACTGAGTCATTGATTATCTTAGTAATTTATATTCAGATGGGTCTTTGCGTTAACGAAAGCTTTTTAGAATTCATTCACAGATTAGTTATTGATTTTTTTTACAAAATCATTTCATTATATGATGATATTATGTGGTCAGCTATTAGATTCACATACCGAAAAATAGCTCAATTATCCTATTAACTTACTTCCGATAAACACTTGCTCAACAATGGAGGGATATCTAAGTTATAGACTGTTATGCAGTAATGTAGTTTATCCTACTAACATATTAATGAGAAAAATTTATTGTCTGTACGGAGGATAATGGGATTATATTGTAGAAAATTAGTACTACACAGAGTTTTATTAGCGTGATGGCCACACAAAAATGATAACTTTGCATATGTACTGATAATAAATACATTTTTTTAATGCTGAGTTTTTTTATTATTAAAAACTAATGTATATTTATTTTTTAGTTTAAAGATGCTTTTGAGGGGGTCTTCATATTGTATGATCTTGAAATTGTTAAAACAAATAAAGAAAAACCTCTTAGCTCAGACCAAATCAGAAACAATATGATTGAGCTTCAAAGAAAACTCAAAAAAGATACGACCCCTCTATATCAACATTTATATTTTAGTGTAAGAGCAATGTCTATTGAGGCGTTATCTTGAAAAGATCCTACGGCTAGTCAAGTCATTAGTGACGAATTGAAGCCTGTAAAGGAATTACTGAAAAATTTAAAAAAAGGGTTTATGGTAAAGAATTATTTGTATATTTGATTACGTTACCTTTGTTAATACTATTAATAACGTTTATTATTTACATTAGAGACTTGTTCATAAAATGATGCTCACACCCATGCTAATGGTTCAAGAAATATGTAGAGAATTTGTACTAGATTTTAAGAAACGTAAAATTGAAACGAAATCAGCCAAATTAATACACGATGGGACTTATAAAGAATCGAAAGAAAATATCAAATGCGTGGTCAAAGAAATTCTTAATGTTTTAAAAGATATTTAGAATAACTTAGCATTTGATCCTGAACTCGCAAAGACATTAAATGAGGGAACATACCAATCAACTGTCATTATATCTGTTATTCAAGCTTCATTAAAAAATCTCCCTATATGAGACACTTTTTTTATTAGTATGTTAGAAAAGCAAAGTATTGCAAGTGCTAATAGAAAGGAAGAAGGTTATATAGGAAGACGTCCAGATATTATGCTTGTAATGAAATACTTAGAGACAGTTTTTGAACTCATGTACGTAGAATGTTCTTATTTAATTTCTAGTTCATAAAAAAGACTGATGATAAGATTAAGTTATGGCGAGAAACTAATGACAGACTATATTAGATATACTAAAGTCTTAAACCGGATAAGGATCAGTTTGGTATTGTAGGTATGCAAGTAGCAGGTAATGTATTGCATTTGAATCTTCTAGTATGAGATATAGTTAATGTTCACTGATATTACCATTTACAATTTGCTGAGATTCCTGTACAATTTTCAGATGAAGGCGTTGTAACTAAATTTATAGAAACTTTGTTATTTTTATGTAATATAATAATTACAAATTTATCTTTACTATATAACGCACCTACTGCCACATCATAAAGACAAATGAAAGATAGTACCACAGTTTCTACTCTACGAGACAATAACTAGACTTTATTATATGTACTTTTTTATATCTTATAGTGGAGCTAGTATCTCTGACACATATTTATCTCAATAAAGATAGCCCTGGTGGTTGAATTATCATATATAAATATATACTTTATTATTTTATGTGAGATGATCATTCATGCGATTATATCATGTTATTTATCTGGTACATGATAGAATATATTCACCTTGAGAAATTAATTATATATTTGTGATACATCTCGAAATAGATTTCACACCTGAAATAGAATATGTAATGACCCAAATATAGAACAATATATTATCAGTAAACCAACTATCTTTCTATCGCTTGGCTATGTATATTTCACGAACTTCTATGCTGATCCCAATTGGTTAATAATTTTCTGGATTTTAATTATTCTGATTGGATGGATCACACCAGAAATTAGCAGGAGGCTATTGGGTAATCGTCGTATATATACCCTTACCAATTATATTCCCACGTTCTTTTTGCGAAAGTATACACTATTCATTTTGAGTAGGACATTGGCTCTAGGAATAAATCCTAACGGCTCGTCGAGTAGTATTGCTTTTGTCTTTTTATTATTAATACACTGCGGACCTTTTCCAGTATATCACAAGAAAAACCAGTCAAGAAGTCTTCACACTACAATCATTATAATAAAAAATGTAGGCTTGAAAAAGAGCAAAAATCAACTATACTAAACCCTAATATAGTTGTATCAATTGTACTGATTGAGCTTACTATAGTCTCAATAACAGACGATATTATTTTTGATCCAAACAGGGTATATATTATTAACCAAAGATCTCGGGATTTCATTTCATAGCTATGATCATTTTTGTGTTGACAGATCAAGTTTCTTAGACAATTATTGAAGTTTCCTTTAGAAACATGTGGTGCAACAGACGCATGGATATTATTCTGCAATAATTTATTCTAAAAGGTTCATTTAATCCACATAAATATCAAGCCGAAAAGACAAATCTTTTATTGTTGAGCAATAGCTTTCGTCTGTAAGACTGGTTCAAAACTATAAATATTTTTACTGATTTTGATGATAACTTTGATGCTAATTCTATAGAACTTATCGATATATTTATCAATAACATCAGACCCAATATGTGACTCATGATTTATGTATTCAAGACAAAATTCTTTATATTGAAAAAGAATGGAAGAGCGTCGCCCTTAATCTATCAGATTGTATAGCATCGAAAGGAGATAAAAGTCAAGAAAATATTTCAGTAGATGAATTATTGTTAGAAACATTAATTTGAGACGCTATAGTAAAAAGAATCAAGCTACCTGAGATCCCGTCTGATTTTTTAACGCTTGTCGATAATGAAATAATTAAGGCTAAATATGTTAACAAAGGAAAGCTCTAAACTGATAATCTAGATGAGCATTTATGGATTTCTCTTGATCAATGGCTTAGGATGGAAGAACTGCTCACTAGAAGGAATGTACGTCGACATCTCCAGCATAAATGGAAAAAGATTAGACATGCTATGAATCTCCAAAATGATATTGATTCGCAAGGTTCTTCGAATGTAATAATTGAACATATCTCTCGAAAGAAAAAGACCCAACTGATAATTTCTGTACGTGATAATTTATATTCTTTAAAAAGATTAATCAAGTTTCGATATATTGTAAAGTCAGAGTGTGTTACTGATATAAATAGACGAACTTTAATATATCTCAAAAATCTTCATAATCCAAATGCGATTGAAAAAGCTACAGATGCCATTAATCACTACTATTTTCATATATTGAATAATCCATCTCATCAAAGCGATGAGTTCTGATCAAATTTTATTGAGTACTTCAGTGCATATACTCTATACAATCTCTTTCTCTACACCAGCTCGAATACTGCCAGCTTGCATAATATTGACCACTTAAAATGTGTAAATAATTTACTTTGCCAATTAATACTACTATCAGATTTCATCAATCGCTTTATTGAGGGTTACTATAAGAGTTTATATGAGAAGCTATCTGAATTGAAATGGGGTATTTTCTCTGAAACCCTTTGGTATATTCCCGATGATCGTGATCAATTTCAACACAAGAAGTGATTTTTACTGAGATGAGCATGACGATCCAAATTTCTTATGTTGCTTGATCATATTGGGTGATTTCAAGAGAGGTGAACTTTGTTTTTCACAACTTCAGATCATAATTCCGCTAAGGTTAGGACAGCTTATGGCATTTTCATCGTGCTTCTTATTATATGGTAATCTTCCAATCACAAGTGGTATTCAACACAGTGTCGTATATTTTGTCCACAGTACCTTCTTTCATAATCTACATGATTTTTCTTCTGTCTATAGTGATTTTAAGAATAGAATTGAGCAGGATGTGAATGGATCAATTGTTCCTACAATTCTTCGACAAGACTTGAACAATACAAATAGATTAAACTGCATAATCAAACTTGATAAGCCGAAAGCTAATCAGATTTGAGTTTTGCTGTCATTCACTGATTGTAAGAGAGGACGTATCGGTAAGTAATTCTATTATAATTTGTGTGTTAAAAACAAATCTTAATAATTAACTTTTTTCTTTTAGATCTGTCACGTGCCTAACGTGGATTAAAGGCTGAGGATCTATTACTGGATGGAATATAATTCGATATTTATATAACAAAAAATTTAAGTATTTTAATGTAGGGTGAAGCCCATTGCTTTGCAATAAATATATCACCGATTATCACGGATTAATAAAGATTTTCGCATATACTGTAAATATATCAATCGTAATTATTTTTTTTTTCTTGGCAAAAGTGATCTGCATTTCAAATTGGAACGGAAATTCTAATTAAAAATTAAATAAATTTGTTTTATATAAAAAGTTATTAAAATGCAATCTGAGTTTGATTTATTAAAACAACAGGTTATTGATCTTGAGGCTGAGAATGTGAAACTAAAACAAATTATTGAAGAAAATACTAAACATGAAGCTGAGAACATTAACCTTAAGATGAAACTAGAAAATAATAAAAAAGATATCACTTATCTCTCAGCTGAAAATTCTGAGCTTAAAATCAAAGTAGCAAAATTAAGCTATGATTTTGAGAAAATAAAATCAAAGGAAATGATTACTGATTCTTTAGAACAATTGTCAATTTCTGAGAAAAAGATAATAAGTATTTCTACTGAAATGGAAAATTCTAGTGTTACTCCCAAACAAATAGATGTATAAACTGGGGATGTTTTAGTATCAGATATATCCGATGACACTTCAAATTCTGATGATATTTTCACAAAAGAAATTTCGCCACCTAATAAGAGTCAACCCGATAAGGAGGAAGCTATTACTCCTGACCCTATAACCAGAATAGAATATAGCTCAACTCAGGTCTAAAAAACTGAATCATCTACAACCTCTTTGTCATAAAATATTACCGATGATGATATGGATGAGACCCTTAATTTTGTAGAAATGAAACATAAAAAATATGTTAGTAAAGAGATAATAGAGAGAATTAGGAAAAAGAAACTTCAAGATCAAAATTCATCTTTAGATAATATTTCATCAGAACTATTTTACAAAAATCAAATCTGAAATTATCTATAATATCGCAATCTATTTCTAATAGTTCTGAGTTATCTTCAGATAATAATTCATCATGTGATTCTGAGTCTAAATTACCTACTAATGTATCACCTAATCAGAGGTACGAAACACTTTGCTCTGCAAAAATTCCTTATAATCAAAAGGTATAACGAGATTTAAGACTCAAACTATCTATTTGCATCAAAGATAATAACTACAAGATTAGTAATGTAATTGATATACAAATTCCTGAATTCTCTATAAAAGCAATTCTAACAAGATCTAGTGAAGTTATAGTAAAAAATATAGCTGATTTATTTAACATTGCTATGAAGACTAGACAAAAGAAAATTTTATGCTGGTATTATTATTATAAAGCATATGAAAATAGGGTTAGAAATATTAAGACTATGGATAAAATTGACGACAAATCTGCAAGAACATTAGTATATAATAAAATTAAATCACTTCTACCTGATGTTACTGATGTAAATTTACGTAAAATAACTTTCAGAGTTAAAAGAGTTTATATATTGTTTGAAGGTATAGAAATAGATAAAATTAGTCAAGTAACTTATAGTGCAAGTGCCATTTCAAGTCTAAAGGATATTCAAATTCAAAGTATTGTGAATGATTTTTTCAAGAAGTTAATTAATATGAATTGCCAAAAAGCGATCAGTGTGACAAATGATATATTAGACACTAAGGTAAATTCATCTTCTATTTCTATCGATTTGAAAATCAAGACGAGTGAAGAAGCCAAAAAAGTATTACTGGAAACTGGGATAAATGTATTGCCTTCAGATACAAAAACTAATATTATTAAACCACCTGTATCTCGACCTCCTATCTCTATTTTACCTGATGATCTAAAGTAAAAATCTATTATTAATAAAGTGCTAGAGCAGTTCCCTTATTTATCTTCAAAGTATAGCAATAAAAATCACGATTATTTTGATTTTAATAGTTCAGTATCCTGTCCTATATGCAATAAAGATCATAAAAAAGAAAATATAAGAGATAATATAGAAGGTAGGTGAGGTAGTAATGATTATATCAATACAAGAACTTATTGTCTGCTATACTATGAGGCCTATCAAAATTTAATCCAAATAGTAACGGTGAAAGCATAGAACAATAAGAATGTAAGTTAACTTAGAATAAATATGAGATCACGGGTTTTTTATTGACATATTTCACAAACTTCTATGTCGATCCTACCCGTAATATGATTAGTTGATAAATTTCTGACTGTTAATAGTTTTTTAATTATTTTGATTGGATGGATCACTACTTTGGAATTAACTATAGGGATTAAAAATAGATTAATAATGGGTTATTTTTCTTAGATCTAAGGCGCGGATTGAAGGCTGAGGATCCATTATCTGATGGGATATAATTCGCTACTTGTATAGATTTAGCAGTTTTAAAATATAAATATATCAGATGATCACTTGTTAAATAAAGATTTTCGTGTAAATATATGAGATCACGAGCTTTTGTTGATATGTTCCAAATAGATAAGTTATGAACTAATCTAAGATACTTTCATATAAGTCATAGATATCTTCGATTGCAGATGTGGAAGTATTCTTATTAATTGGCTTGGGTGTGAAAGCTTGAGTTTCTGGTTCAGGCTCTGGATCTGAATTAAGGTCAGAATCAGAAGTATCACCCTCAGCATAATACTTTCCAGAATTAAAATAGTCTATCTTATGTCTCATTGCAATTCTGCTAAGGAATTCAAGATGTTGCGAAGTTGGATTTTGACCACTATGAACTCTAGAAGCATGTTTTCCTCCGATTTTTCTTAATCTTTTAGCTGTAATATTATATGGTTTTAAAAATTTACTAAATACTCCTGTACTGCATTTTTTATTAATACTATAGACAGAATTGCGTAACTTTCTAATTGCTATTGCATCTTGAATCCAGGCAAGCAACTCTTTTGCACGTTCTGGATTTTTTTCCATGGATAGAAATTGCCGAGGTTCAGGATTATTTTTTGCTTCTTCTTTATTTTTAATATATCTGATACAATACTAAAAATAATCAGACTTGAACCATTTGGGAGGATTTGATTCACCAGATTCATAATGGATAATACGAAAAGTAGCAACTTTGGCAGGTCTCATGCTCAACATCATAATTACATCTGCAAGATCTTGTATAGTAAGGATTTTAGTAGTATTGATATTTTGAATTCTTAGTCTTTCCTCTAAGAAAAAGTGTGTGGGAGTTTTAGGTAGATTGGATAACCGCTATTTAAGTTGTCTCTTTTGAATTTCGTTAGAAGCTCGAGTAATTTCTGGCAATTTGGTATATATATCAATTTGCTCGAAATCAACTTCAGCTTCTACTAACTCTCTACGAAATTATGAAACATGAGAACTGACTGCCACAATCGCTTCATCTGTATTATTTTTTGGCATAGATAAGTCTAAAGTATGTAATCAAATATCTTACACATCTTCAGTTTTTACACAATATTGAGCTCTTTCCTTGATAGTAAGTTTTTTTCCCTCTTGTCTGATATAGGAGCTTCTATTTGATTTGTTTTGAATAGACACCAGCGAAGAGCCTCTTTCACATTTTTTTGAGCTTTCCAATTAGGTAGCATAGTATCAAGCTCATTAGCATAAACATGTAATTGAAGCAGATTTGATTCAGCTGATAGGTTATATTTACTGAGGATCTGATCTAAAATGGAGGTAAACTATTAGTTTTGGGTTTTCTAGTTTTTTGGACAGTTGCCATAATAGGTATGTAAATAATATATATCGATAAGTAGATTGTAATTATACATTAACCTACTTATTTTTTCAAATTGAAATTAATTATCTTAGGTCAATATATCTATGCCCAAAATTGAATGGGTCATGGTTATTGTAATTCTATCAAAAAATGAATGCAAACAAGGTACAAGTTCAATTAAAAGTCTTGGAATCTGTAGTTTTATATAATAAAATCACCAAAAATATAGAAGGCATCAAAGAGGATATAATATTACTTAAAGAAGTCCTAAAAAAAATAATTAATATATACATATGCCAGATATATGATTAGACTTCATGCATAGAATCGGGTAAGTCAGATATATAATTCTTAAACATGGTAATTTGTGTATATAACTCATCCTGCTTTTATCTGTAATAATTCTCTTTACTTTTATATTTTCCTATGTGTTTATTGCATGCATTATATTTAGACCTATTTGGCTCACCACAATCTTTACAAGGAGTAGGTATTGGAGAATTACGATGAATATAACATCTTTCTGATTTACTACCTCTACCACAGATTTCTCCAGTCTATGAATATATGAACAATCGTATAATATCATCATGATTATATATAATAATTACTTCAATCAAATTTATATTTTTTTAGCAAACTTTTCATCAAAATGGTTCACTAAAATTTCTGAATAATTATTTTTATTTTAAAGATTTATCTATCGATTATTATAATTTCAAAACATATATTTTTTATTAGATCAAACAATGCGTATATACAAACAACATATATACAATCAATAAAATTAGTTTGTCTAGTGAAGCAAAAAAACGTCTTCATGAATCGTTATAGCAACAGTGCTTAAATTAAAAGTTAGCTAAATATAATGAAGCAAAAAGGCTTTTTATGAGTTTAACGGATCTTGATTATAAACCTGACTATAAAGAACATACATTTTATAAATACTGGCTTGTATCTAATGGACATACCAGCTCTTCTGATAGAAATGATACTGCGCTTTTAGATGTATATCAACCTGAAGAGATTCATTCTTAATATATAATTCAGATGGCAGGAAAAGGTTATACAGTAATCGATCATCCTTCTGAAGTTTATAGAATACCTGATATCCACGAATGTATTGATAGAAACCAACTCCTACGCTTAATTATTGATATTGATGCAAGGCAAAAGCCTGATCCTATAAATCCTAAAGTGCCTTCCTTAGATGATAAAAAATTACATGAGAAGATTTGTTATCTTGAATTTTAATCGCTTGTGCAGATGCATTAAGCCTTATTCCAGATTGTATATCTTTATTAAATTCTTTTACCTTAGATAGTTCATCAAATGCTGAGAAATATAGTTAACATATTATTTATCCTCATGCCCAATTCATAGATTATAGAGAACTTAAGGAATTCACAGAAAAGGTTATAGAATTAGTTGGAGAACCTTATTCAAAATTTATTGATAATGGTTTTTCCAAAACACATTTCAACCTTCGGCTTCTAGGATCAGAAAAAGAAGGTCGTATAAAAAGACCTGCTATTTCTTCAGTTAAAAATGAATTTAAAAATCTAGATGATTATCTGGTTCAGCCTAAAGAGAATTATTCTGTAATCTGGCCACAAACCTTTTCTTCTGAAGAGCCAGTAAAACAAGAATTCCAGCCTATTAATGATGAAAATGCTTTGAGTAGAGGAGCTAATCTAGTTATTGAAAAATATGGGTGGCTTCATATTGGAAAAATTGGGAATGGTTTTATTAATTTTCAAGCACAATCCGTGTTATATAATAATAAACTCTGCTCTAAAGAATACCCTATATGTGATGTTAAACATGATAAGGATCAACTTTATAGATTTATTCAAAAAAATGGACATTTCATACTCAAGTGCTATCGACAAAAACCATATAAGCCAGATCATAAGGGATTAAGCTTTGATAAGGTATTAGATAAAGTTGAATCGAAAGAAAAGTCTAAGAAGTGGAAATTATGTGAAAGATTACCTAAGGTTTTATCAACTTCACATCAGTTTTCTGAATTACCTGAAAAAAGTATTAATGTAAGAGAAATGAAGGATGCCTTAGATGCTTTTTCAGACTTTTTAAGTGAAGAGCCTAGTACTACTCTTATTCGTTCTACTGTAAGTACTGGTAAAACTAAAACATTAAGAAAAATTTTGGCATCTTTAGCTCAAAGTTGTGTTAATTTACCTTGTACTATCTGGGTTTCATATCGCAAAACCCTTAGTAATGAATCTGAAGCTAAACTTAAAGAATTGGAAAAATTCGATTTTAAAGTAAGGTAATATCAGAATATTGTGGCTGACTTAAAGACATGTGAGTGAGATCTTATTATTGTACAAGTTGAAAGTATTTTTTGTCTTGATTTTCAAGGGGACCGTTCTTGTATAGCAATTTTAAATGAAGCAAATGCCACTATGTGTCAAATGGCTAGTGGAGTTCATACTCAAAAATCTACTAATATCATACGTAATTTGTTAAATGTAGCTACTCATGTTGTTGCTATGGATGCTTTTGCAAATGACTCAACTTTAGCTTTTTTAAAATCCTATTGAAGTGAGAATGTTCGGGTTATTGACAACAAATATCAACCACGTAAAGGGGAGATTATTAAATTTCTTTACGATCTAGATAAAGGTTCAGAAGGTATACGTAAAGGTTTTAAGATGCTTTAAAAAGGTAAGTATGTTGCATTTGTTATGACTAGTTGTAAAAAAGCCTGAGCTTTGGCTGATTAAACATCTAAGTTGCAAAAACCTGATGGTTCATTTATTTTATTTCAGGTTTATTTTGGTCAAATGGATGGAAAATAATGCTAAGATGATTTTGCTAATATTGATGCCACTTGGAATACTCTTGATTGTGTAATTTATACAAGCATCGTGAAAGCTGGCATCTCCTTTGAAATATCTGGTTATTTTTGATGTAATTATAGGAATTACTAATATTGCTACTCCTGTTCATATTGAAGCATTTGCTCAGATGTTGTTCAGAATCTGTGACTGCCCATTACGTATGGTTTCCTTTTATCATAGCAAAAAATTCAATATTTTTAAAGAACCATGTCAGGAACTTATTCAGGCTGAACTTTCAGCATTAAGACTTACCAATAATAATAAAAGATTAGTGTGCATAAGATAAAATTACTGATTGTTATGCATTTAATTTATCTTCAGCAGTGAAAATTTATATTGAAATTGAATATCAGAGACGCTTATCAGCCAAATATTTTCCTGAGATTCTTTGCAGTCTTATTACTAGTACTGGAGCAACACTTGAATTAATTTTAGTGGAAGATACTGAGAAAGTCAACAGGAATAAAATTTTTCATACTATTAAAAATACTGAGAAAAAAATTAAAGGTGCAGATGCAGAATCAATAGCTAATGCTTCAGATATTAGTCCTAATAAAGCTGAAATTCTTAAGCAAAATCCTATACGCTCTTTTGCTGATAACATGACTTTACAATGTCACTATTTATGGAAAATATATACTTCAGGTGATATTAGTGGCAAGGATTATATTCGAAACTGGGGTATGAATAATGATGATTAAGTTAAGCTTTGTGATATAGATTTCATAGAAAGATATAATAATCCTGAACCTTTACAACATTTTAGGAGGTTGGCATATTTCAGAAGACAAGGTTCTAATGCAATAAATTCTATAGAAACTCTAAAAATTAAAGAAGAAATGCAATAGAAAGATTCACATAAATCTATAGATCCGTTTTTAGTTGATTTGTATAAATTTTATTCAGCTAAGCAGTGGGAAATGATACATAATCTTGTCTAATCAATAGGCTTCAGTGATATAGATGACACGAATATTCTTTCTGGTGATAATGTGGCTAAGACTTTTGAGCAATCACGAGAAAAAATTGTTAAAATTTGAGAAGATGCATTGTTACTCTTTGGTTTTAAGATCAGAGCTAAAGGAATACCAGATCTCAATGCTACAATAAAATTTATTAATACAATAATAAGTAATTAGTATGGTTATACTATCAGGAGTGGCGCAACCCATGTAGGTTCAAGAACTAATAGGGTATAGAAAAAAACTTATTGGATTCATCGCAAACCATATCATCAGTAAATTTAATAAT